AATGGTAGAATGTTTTAATTATTTTAAGCACTTAAATGTTTCATAAAACATGTTTAGTTATTTTAATGTGAAATTATTCTTTGGATCATTTTGTAAAAGTGTCTGGAGTTCAAGATTTGCATTTTTGACCAAAGCATTTCGTGAAAAATCATCTGTTAAAATATTAAAATTTATGAATATTATGAATATTTTTTAGAAAGAGTGAAATTTGAACCTTTTACTTGCGGGAACACTCAAAATATTTTCGTTTTAAACAAATTATGGTATTTTTTGACCACTTTCAAATTGGCCCTTTCATACATAAATTGTCGGCTTTCTTGGTACTTTCGGGTATGGTTTTGGCTACCTAAAAAATATTAATATTTTAAAATATATTAGTTTTTGTCAATTTTGTAAAATAAATAGGACACATGTTTTAGTTAATAAAAGTTTAAACTGAATTTATGCATTTGTTTCTTGGAAATGGCCTATTATGTTCCCCATACAACATTTATATTCGAGTTTTCTTGAGCACAGTACCCAAGGAGACGGGAAATTAAATCTTTTAAGCATTTAATTTGATGGATTTTTAGTTTATAAGTGTAATATTAATATCTTAAGAAAAATAGAAAAAACAAATTGATTTGTTTTTTATTACTTAAATAAAATGTTCAAATCAAGCAGTTTGAATACATTTTTTTCGAACTTAATAACTTAAGTAAATATTTTAATTATTTATTTATTTATTATGAAATTAACGCGTAATTCAAATTGCGCGAAATTTTAGTTTAGCTATACCAACTTCAGGCCTTAAGGGGGATATACATGTAAACGGTCAAAATGTAGACATTTTTCGTGAATTTTTTAATGTAGGAAATCATTTCCTAAGAAAAATGCCATTTTCAGGTAATCAGATTTCACTTCCCACCCTCTTAAAAAATAGTAATATTCATTTGTATTACCCGCATTTAGGTTCAAATAGAAGATAATTTCATGCTGATCATAATAATTTTTGATTCACTCCGTATTTTGATATGTTGCGTATATAGTTGATTTGAGGCACTTGGAGTTGGAATTCGATAATGAAACTTACACAGTATATTCTTTAAGTAACAAACTATTTTTTAAACCAAAAAAAATTTTGGTTTACATGTATATCCCCCCTTAAGCTAATTAAAGTAAATATACTGTTGATTAAAACCACATCAATTTGATCAAACACGGTACAATTTGGTTTTTTAATATACCTTTTTAATCTTTTAAAAATTCCCTGAATTAAAATAATATAAATGTCCCTACATTCCGTAGATACCAATAGAGTATCGCACTATCTAAATAATTGTAAATATTTGTATTTATATATTTTAAGATCGATCTCTGACTATAAGATATTTAACCATAAAAACGCAAAACCGGGAATGTTTTATTTGTAGTATGTAAATTATATATGAAAATGTATAATCTCTATTATAAATATGTTTGTGGTCCTGAAAAGGACCGATTTGTACAAAATGTATTGACGCTATTTGCTAGTCGAAGCAATCTCAACTTAAGCACGCTCGCCACGGATACGACGGGCCAGCTGGATGTCCTTGGGCATGATTGTGACTCGCTTGGCGTGGATGGCACACAAGTTGGTATCTTCAAAGAGACCAACCAGGTAGGCTTCGCTAGCTTCCTGCAGAGCCATCACGGCCGAGCTCTGGAAGCGCAGGTCAGTCTTGAAGTCCTGAGCGATTTCACGCACCAAGCGCTGGAAAGGCAGCTTGCGGATCAGCAGCTCGGTACTCTTCTGGTAGCGACGGATCTCACGCAGAGCCACAGTTCCGGGGCGATAGCGATGGGGCTTCTTCACACCACCGGTGGCTGGGGCACTCTTGCGAGCGGCCTTGGTTGCCAGTTGTTTGCGTGGCGCCTTGCCACCAGTCGATTTGCGAGCGGTCTGCTTGGTACGGGCCATTTTAGATTCTTCTTATTTTCACTGTCTGTTCACTGTTTACTTCACGAGTCTGAAAACACAATAAACGAGCTGCGAATTGCCTACCCTCTTATATAGCAAAACGTGGAGGGTGGAAAAGAGAGAGCTAGTCGAAGCACATGCCATTTCGTTTGTCGAGCACAGAGCGAGAAGGCCATAGCGTTCGGGCTCGCTCGTGCAGAGCAGAGTTTAGGTATAAATAGGAGCGGCCGACGCGGCTTCTACATTAGTTCAGTGGTAGAGCTGGGAAACTATCGATAGTGACACCATTCGATATTTTCGATGTTTTGAAAACGAAAATTCGATACTATCGATAGTATCGTTTTTTTACGATTCTTTTTGCAAATTAAAGTTATAGCAATTTCAAATAGAATTATAATACTATTCAATATGTTTTGACTAAGTAATTAACATAAATATTCTATCCAAGCAACTTTGCACAAATAAAATTGTATTACCATTGCTAAACATACGCTTAGACTCTGAAGACGTGGCGTAGACGCACCCTTTCTTTTGAGATTCAGTTAATATTTTTCACCACCAACTCCAATTTAAGTTAATTTAGAATACATTTTTATTATAAAAAAAAAAATATATATATACATATATATATATATTTGTTTGCATTTTTCTTACTAAATTTCAGCAACAAAGCAGAGATATAAAAATAGTCCCGTACTATCGATAGTGATAAAAAACTATCGATGGTGGCTCAAAAAAAGGAAAAAGTCGATACCTCGATAGTACCATCGATAGTTTCCCAGCTCTATTCAGTGGTGACTTTCGAAGTGTAAAAATAAAATAGTGAAAAATGACTGGTCGCGGTAAAGGAGGCAAAGGCTTGGGAAAAGGTGGCGCCAAGCGTCATCGCAAAGTGCTGCGTGATAACATCCAGGGTATCACAAAGCCAGCCATCCGTCGTCTGGCTCGGCGTGGCGGCGTGAAGCGCATTTCGGGACTCATTTACGAGGAAACCCGTGGTGTTCTGAAGGTGTTTTTGGAGAACGTGATCCGTGATGCCGTCACCTACACTGAACACGCCAAGAGGAAGACCGTCACAGCCATGGACGTCGTCTACGCCCTGAAGAGACAAGGCCGCACCCTGTACGGTTTCGGCGGTTAAAAAATCAGTACAGTCTGTACTTCTCAACAATCGGTCCTTTTCAGGACCACCACTTAATTTCATAAAAGAGAAAAATTATCAAGTTATATTTCGCATATATCTTAACATTGAATATTCTAGCCCAAGAATGGAAATATCTTTATTTGAATTGGTCGGGGTTTCCGTAGGAAGACAATCACATCTTTAGGTAGCGTAAACTGTCTTGCAATGACAATGTTCATTGTCCATGTCCTGGAATTTCTCTGACGACTGTACTATTGGTTTCTGCATAGCGATAACCAAAAATATAAATATTATATGTATATTTTATATATATAAATTTATTTATTATATAATTATTAATATTGTTTAAACTTAGCTAGGCATATTTGAAATTGTAAGTTTCTTTTGAAATAGTTTGGTCGTCCTGAAAAGGACGTTTGGGTTTGAGTTTGTTTTTATGTACAAGGTTTCTGGCACGCTTTTTGAACGCTTAAGCCTTCTTCTCGGTCTTCTTGGGCAACAGAACAGCCTGGATGTTGGGCAACACACCTCCCTGGGCAATGGTGACGCCGGAGAGCAGCTTGTTCAACTCTTCGTCGTTGCGGATGGCCAGCTGCAGATGACGCGGGATGATCCTCGTCTTCTTGTTGTCACGAGCAGCATTGCCAGCCAACTCGAGAACCTCAGCGGCCAGATATTCCATCACGGCAGCCAGGTAAACTGGAGCGCCGGCACCGACGCGCTCGGCGTAGTTGCCCTTGCGGAGCAGACGATGGATACGGCCGACAGGGAACTGAAGTCCGGCACGGTTGGACCGGGACTTTGCCTTTCCCTTAACTTTGCCACCTTTTCCACGACCAGACATTTTCTCTTATTTCAGTTATTTCACTTTATTCACTGCACACACACGAAGAACGAATGTTGCCGGCTGCCCAGCTTGTCACGAATTTATACTTTTAGTTCTGCCTGTGCGTTCAGTTAGGGGTGGGTCGCCTTAGACCTGAAAACATTGCTTGAAAAAAAGTATAAGAGCGAACACCCAAGCCCGACTGCTATGAAAAGTGAGTTAATCGCAAAGTGAAGTGAAGTGAAAAAATAATGCCGCCTAAAACCAGTGGAAAGGCAGCCAAGAAGGCTGGCAAGGCCCAGAAGAACATCACTAAGAACGACAAGAAGAAGAAGCGGAAGAGGAAGGAGAGCTATGCTATCTACATCTACAAGGTCCTGAAGCAGGTCCATCCCGACACTGGCATTTCCTCGAAGGCGATGAGCATCATGAACAGCTTTGTGAATGACATCTTCGAGCGCATTGCTGCCGAGGCTTCTCGTCTGGCGCACTACAACAAGCGCTCGACCATCACCAGTCGGGAAATCCAAACTGCTGTTCGTCTGCTCCTGCCCGGAGAGTTGGCAAAGCACGCCGTCAGTGAGGGAACCAAGGCTGTCACCAAGTACACCAGCTCCAAGTAAATTTCCCCGCGGATGCGGAGAAGCATTAAAAAGGCCCTTTTCAGGGCCACAAAAAGTTTTACCAAAGAATCTGAATTTTCAAAAGCCTAATTTTTCTTTAAATATATAAAGCTTCCATTTTAAAACCAAAAGCTGTCCTGTAAAATATAAAATCTATTTCGAATTAAAATTTTCCTGGAATAGTACAATTTAAATGTGACCCCTTTAAAAAATTTGGAAAAAAAAAGTAATTCTACCAAAAAATCGACTTAGATCGATATGCTGACCAAAAATTAATATGGTTTATAGGGTCGGACATGACTCTTGACTGCGATACGCTATTTTCCTCCGAAAATTAATTTATTAGTATTATTATTTATTATCAAATATATAAATACTTCTGGGTTTTAAAGGAAGCGGGAACACTATTTGTAATTTTAAAAAATTGATAATTTAGCTCTCTTTTAAAAAAGTTTTGTAGCCCTGAAAAGGGCTTGTTTAAATCAATTTCAAATTTCAGATTTCGAAATCTAAAATTGCCATAATTAAGATTATCATAATTTACTTCTTCGACGCCGTGGTCTTGGCTTTCGGCTTCTTAGCGGTAGCCGGAGCAGTTGCTTTCTTCACTGCCTTCTTAGGCTTGGCGGACGCTGCTGCCTTGGCCTTCGGTGCCTTGGCTGCCTTTGGCTTCGCGGCGGCCGGCTTAGCCTTTGCTGCTGCTGGCTTTGCCTTTACGACTCCAGTTTTCTTGGCATCCTTGGCCTTTGCCTTCTCAGTTTTCTTCTTCTCGGCAGTCTTCTTGGTGGCAACGGCCTTCTTAGCCTTGGGTTTCTTGTCAGCAGCTCCGGCGGCTTTCTTTGCGGTGGCTCCGGCTTTCTTGGTGACTACCTTCTTGCTTTTGACTTTTTTCTCAGCAGCCGCAACCTTTGGCTTGTAGGTGGCAGTGATATATTTCTTGATTGCCAGAAGCGATGAGCCACCACGCTCCTTCAAGTTCTTGATGGAAGCATCCACCATTTGTTGAGTTGGCGGATGTGATGGTGGAACTGCTGCCTTCTTGGCCTTGGTAGCTCCTGAACCAGATGCCTTTTTGGCGGCCACCTTCTTCTCAACTGGCGCTGGTGGGGCAGCCACTGGGGACGCGGATGTTGCCACTGCAGAGTCGGACATTTTTGCTTCACTAATTATTTTCGAAAGCTTACGAAAAACACTTTTGTTTGTATAGAAATGGCGCGAGCAAGTTCAAGTTCAAGTTCAGGTTTATTTGTCATTTTGGTCTTAAGGCTAACATTTTTCCTTATTTTAAATATTTATAATTAAGTGACAAGCTTAGTATAATTTCTTTTAGGTTTGTGTTATATTGCCTCGTGCTATGCTGCTTATCAAGGCGTTAATTACTTTTGTGTTTTTCAATGGTACATTGTTTAAAGCATTTTTGTTTTTGATTTTTCGAGATCACTTTTGTGTGTTTACGTTTATTTACTTATTGGGGAAAAACTCTTTTTGAGCAAAACCCAGTATGCGCTTGGTGTTTTTGTGTGTTTACTAAATCTAAGATTAAAACTATGACTAGATATTAGGGGGAAAAAAGGGGGAGCTATTTACAGGGGAGGAGGAGGTATAAAACGAAAAAATACAAGGAAACGAAAAATAATAATGATAATGATAATACTTAATAATATTAATACTAGTAATTAATTAACTTAATTAATTAATAATTTAATAATTGAGATTGTAATTGTTTTTGTAATTGCAGTTATTTTCTATATATGTATATATACATATATGATAATAGTGGTAAGTTAAGATAGACAAAGGGTAACACCAATGTATAACTTATTGATTTATTGAAAAGATCAGGTTTTCTGCCGTTAAACGGTTTAGATTTGTACTTTGTTTCCTGTGGCAAAATACTAAATTGTTATTATCATCATACACCAGCCCGAGTTATTTGAGCTGTTCTAAATATTTCACATTTAAGTTGAGTGGTGAGTGGTATACTTTGAAAGCGCTCCTACCTCACACTATTTTTCTCAATGGGTTTTCATCAAATACCTGGTTGACGTTGGTGAAACCGATATCATCGGCACCTTGCCATTTACCATCATCTGTTTGGGTTGGACTGACGTTAACTATATTTGCTCCGACAGCTGTGTTTCAAAAACTTCATTGACGAAGTTTTTTACAGTTGTGGAGTGCCTCTGTTGCTGTTGCAATTGGGCGGCTAGTTATTTAAGATTTGTATTTAATATCGTTCGGTATGCATATTGCTACCGATGTGTATTTGTTTTCTGGTTATATTGACAGTGATCTGCACATGATATTGGTATCAGTGGTTCCGATTTGCTGTCGAATGAATTGATATTTTGTTAATTTCATCTAATGTCGACGATTTAGTCTATGCTCAGCAATGTGCATTAAAAATGGACGATAATGGTTTAGTAGTTGATCGAATTCATGTCTTTTTTGCAATGAAACAATTGAGTTGACATTCTGAAACATACATCGTAATCTACGCATTCAATGGAGTGGATACTGACATAGACATTTGTATTAGGAAATCTAATAGAATTTGTTGTTTTTGTTTTTTAATCTCGCTTGGATTTGTTGTTGGTGTCTGAATATTTGTATATTTGTTTACAGTGTTTTTCATTACGGTTAGGCAATGAAATATGTCTGCACCGAAAAATTCAAGGGCATCGCTATTTAGATTATTGAAAAGGGAGCTGGAGTTGATGTTATTATTGTTCTTATTGGTACTTTGTGTAAGGTTTGACTTGTGCGGAGTTGCGAGTCTCGCCTCCATATGCTTTCTAAGCGTTGGATTTGAGGTTACAATGCGACCTGAATTGGCATTTGAATTGGAATTTTGGTTCAGATTTGGATTGAATAGAGATGCAAAGGATTTGCCATTTTGTATTACAGAGTTGATACGGTTATTTGTTTGTGCTCGTCGATTATTTTCAGTCTCTTTTCTTTCTTTTAGTTTTTTAAGGATATCGATGCGAACTTGACATATTTTGGCGTTGGCCGTGTGATTACCCCCACAGTTCACGCATTTGACATTACGAATTTGTTCCCCATTTTCGTCAAGTTCGTTTGTTTTCTGTACAGTACATTGTCCAGGTGGATGTGTATTTGTGCATTTTACACAGCGATGCGGCATATTGCAATTAGCCGCTGTATGAGTGAATCTTTGGCAATTGTAACATTGCCGAATTTGGTTTTTATTCTTCCTAATACCCTCGATATTTATTCGACAATTTAGTAATGTTTTTAATTGTAGGACCTGTTTAATGTGTTCTGCCTTATCAATTTGAATAAGCCAGAATTTGTTTTTAAAGATTTTGATTGAGGTGATATTTACATTTGGGAGTGAGTCGGCTAGTGCCGACTTTACATCTTCCATTCCGTACGATTGTATGGGTAGCTTTTTGATGATTAATGAGTGATACTTTAACTCGTCGGGGGTGTATGTGTAGTAATTGCATTTATTTATCTTTAGTTGTTCTTTTGTTTTTATGAAATCTTCTAGTTTGTTTACTTTAATGTTGATTAAATTTTTATTTATAATATTTAAAACAAAGGTGTTATCCCTGATTATCTTTCTTAACATACCCGTAATTGCTTTTGGTTCTGCATTGTAGACTGCTATTATCGGCATCTTGGTTTTTATAGCTGCTACTGCTGCTGCTGTTGTTGATTGCTGCTTTTGTTGCGCCGCCTTAAATGCTGCTCCAGTTGAAGATTTAGCGGCCGCTGCTGTTTTAGCTGCTGCTATTGCTGATGTAGATGTAGACTTTGTAGCTGCCGCTTTCGCTGATGCCGCTGCTGCTCGCAGTGCAGCTAGTCGCGGCCCCAGAATTTCATCCAGCTCGGCGTCATCATCATCGCTGCTGTCGATGTAATTGATGTTTCCATCGTCGTCGACATCCATGGACTCTGCAGGAGGGCTCTGCCCATGGATGTTGTTGCTGCTTTTGTTGATTTTTATTTTGTATTTGTTTGTAGATGAATTTGGCTGTGCGGGAGGGCTCTGCCTTTTGTTGTTGTTTTTGTTGTTGTTCTTTTTAACTATTTTTCCGCTGTTGTTGTTGCTATTGTTGTTTTTATAGTTGCTGCCGTTGCTGCTGCTGTTGTTTTCGCCACTACCCATAAGTGTTGGGAATTCGGCGTCATAGTTGCAAATGTCTTCATTGGCTTCAGACATTTCGTCGTCTTCTTCGTGGTCATCTTCGAAGAGTGGTGCAAACTTGTTGCCTTCGAATTGCTGGATGTTGCCAGCTAGCCCCAGGCTAGCCAGCTGCTGTTTTATATTGGAGCCTCTTTCCACGTTTGCCAGACGTTGGCGCAGTAGGTAGATCTCCGTGCGGAGGCTGAGTAGCTCCTCCTTATCGATGAGGACTTTGTCCGTGTTGTTGTTGTTGTCGATGCAGCTGGTGCAGCCGTTGCTGCTGTTGTTGGTTTTCGGAACGGCATTGTTGTTGTTGTTGTCGCTTTCGTAGTGGATGCCATCGTTGCTTCCGTTGTGGAGGCCGTCGCTGATCATTCCGTCGTCACTGCTGCTGCCGTCGCTGCCACTGTTGTTGGCGCTTGACGTAGCTGCAGACGTGTCGCTGTGATGCTTCCTCTTACCCCTTTGTGTTTGGTGGGGGAGGGTCACACTAATCGTTTCGTTGATGCTTGCCGCTGCTGGTGTCGCAGAGAGTGCCAGCGCTGCGTTTGTTGTTGTTGCTTCCATAGTGGCTGCGGCCGCAGTTGAGGCAGCTGCACTGGTTTGTGTGGCAGGAGCCGTCGATATGCCCTCACCCTCGGCCATATCAGCTTGGTGGCCTTTTTTCGGGCTCTTGGGACTTTTTGGAGTTTTATATTTCTTGCCCATATAGGGGCTGATGCGATGATTTTTTTTAATTTGCTTTTCACACTTTATGTATGCGCTGGTAGCTGGCGCACATGGCTCACCAGTTAACGGCGAAAATGCCACAGCCGAGGGCGCGTGCCCAACGGTGTCGCCCGTCTCACTTGCACTCGTATTTGCAGGTTCCAGATTTCCCGCACTCGGAGTTAAGGTACTCTCCCCCTTACATTGGGGGATCACGCTTGCGCTCGCACCGATTAACTCGCTCGTTACACTCGCGTGCGGGTCTCTCTCCAGTGTCTCTATCTTTTCCACTTGTATTGTGTCTCACTCTTTCAGTATGATTCTGTCTCTTTCTTTCTTTTTCAGATCACTTTTCACTTTTCCACTTTTTCTCGGTCAGATCACTTTTTCACTTTTCACAGTCAAGTTTACTCAGTTTACTCAGTTTACTCAGTCAGCGGATGTTGCCACTGCAGAGTCGGACATTTTTGCTTCACTAATTATTTTCGAAAGCTAACGAAAAACACTTTTGTTTGTATAGAAATTAGAGCTGGGAAACTATCGATGGTACTATCGAGGTATCGACTTTTTCCTTTTTTTGAGCCACCATCGATAGTTTTTTATCACTATCGATAGTACGGGACTATTTTTATATCTCTGCTTTGTTGCTGAAATTTAGTAAGAAAAATGCAAACAAATATATATATATATGTATATATATATTTTTTTTTTTATAATAAAAATGTATTCTAAATTAACTTAAATTGGAGTTGGTGGTGAAAAATATTAACTGAATCTCAAAAGAAAGGGTGCGTCTACGCCACGTCTTCAGAGTCTAAGCGTATGTTTAGCAATGGTAATACAATTTTATTTGTGCAAAGTTGCTTGGATAGAATATTTATGTTAATTACTTAGTCAAAACATATTGAATAGTATTATAATTCTATTTGAAATTGCTATAACTTTAATTTGCAAAAAGAATCGTAAAAAAACGATACTATCGATAGTATCGAATTTTCGTTTTCAAAACATCGAAAATATCGAATGGTGTCACTATCGATAGTTTCCCAGCTCTAATAGAAATGGCGCGAGCGGTCTAGACCCGACGTCCCTCGTTGATATGAGAATCGAGGAGGAGAGCAGTATAACTATATGTTTGGCAGCGCTCATTTACGTTGCCTATGTTTGATCGATGTGCAGTTTTATTTTCTTCTTTTCTCAATGTTATATTTTTAAATGGTAGAATGTTTTAATTATTTTAAGCACTTAAATGTTTCATAAAACATGTTTAGTTATTTTAATGTGAAATTATTCTTTGGATCATTTTGTAAAAGTGTCTGGAGTTCAAGATTTGCATTTTTGACCAAAGCATTTCGTGAAAAATCATCTGTTAAAATATTAAAATTTATGAATATTATGAATATTTTTTAGAAAGAGTGAAATTTGAACCTTTTACTTGCGGGAACACTCAAAATATTTTCGTTTTAAACAAATTATGGTATTTTTTGACCACTTTCAAATTGGCCCTTTCATACATAAATTGTCGGCTTTCTTGGTACTTTCGGGTATGGTTTTGGCTACCTAAAAAATATTAATATTTTCAAATATATTAGTTTTTGTCAATTTTGTAAAATAAATAGGACACATGTTTTAGTTAATAAAAGTTTAAACTGAATTTATGCATTTGTTTCTTGGAAATGGCCTATTATGTTCCCCATACAACGTTTATATTCGAGTTTTCTTGAGCACAGTACCCAAGGAGACGGGAAATGAAATCTTTTAAGCATTTAATTTGATGGATTTTTAGTTTATAAGTGTAATATTAATATCTTAAGAAAAATAGAAAAAACAAATTGATTTGTTTTTTATTACTTAAATAAAATGTTCAAATCAAGCAGTTTGAATACATTTTTTTCGAACTTAATAACTTAAGTAAATATTTTAATTATTTATTTATTTATTATGAAATTAACGCGTAATTCAAATTGCGCGAAATTTTAGTTTAGCTATACCAACTTCAGGCCTTAAGGGGGATATACATGTAAACGGTCAAAATGTAGACATTTTTCGTGAATTTTTTAATGTAGGAAATCATTTCCTAAGAAAAATGCCATTTTCAGGTAATCAGATTTCACTTCCCACCCTCTTAAAAAATAGTAATATTCATTTGTATTACCCGCATTTAGGTTCAAATAGAAGATAATTTCATGCTGATCATAATAATTTTTGATTCACTCCGATATGTTGCGTATATAGTTGATTTGAGGCACTTGGAGTTGGAATTCGATAATGAAACTTACACAGTATATTCTTTAAGTAACAAACTATTTTTTAAACCAAAAAAAATTTTGGTTTACATGTATATCCCCCCTTAAGCTAATTAAAGTAAATATACTGGATTAAAACCACATCAATTTGATCAAACACGGTACAATTTGGTTTTTCAATATACCTTTTTAATCTTTTAAAAATTCCCTGAATTAAAATAATATAAATGTCCCTACATTCCGTAGATACCAATAGAGTATCGCACTATCTAAATAATTGTAAATATTTGTATTTATATATTTTAAGATCGATCTCTGACTATAAGATATTTAACCATAAAAACGCAAAACCGGGAATGTTTTATTTGTAGTATGTAAATTATATATGAAAATGTATAATCTCTATTATAAATATGTTTGTGGTCCTGAAAAGGACCGATTTGTACAAAATGTATTGACGCTATTTGCTAGTCGAAGCAATCTCAACTTAAGCACGCTCGCCACGGATACGACGGGCCAGCTGGATGTCCTTGGGCATGATTGTGACTCGCTTGGCGTGGATGGCACACAAGTTGGTATCTTCAAAGAGACCAACCAGGTAGGCTTCGCTAGCTTCCTGCAGAGCCATCACGGCCGAGCTCTGGAAGCGCAGGTCAGTCTTGAAGTCCTGAGCGATTTCACGCACCAAGCGCTGGAAAGGCAGCTTGCGGATCAGCAGCTCGGTACTCTTCTGGTAGCGACGGATCTCACGCAGAGCCACAGTTCCGGGGCGATAGCGATGGGGCTTCTTCACACCACCGGTGGCTGGGGCACTCTTGCGAGCGGCCTTGGTTGCCAGTTGTTTGCGTGGCGCCTTGCCACCAGTCGATTTGCGAGCGGTCTGCTTGGTACGGGCCATTTTAGATTCTTCTTATTTTCACTGTCTGTTCACTGTTTACTTCACGAGTCTGAAAACACAATAAACGAGCTGCGAATTGCCTACCCTCTTATATAGCAAAACGTGGAGGGTGGAAAAGAGAGAGCTAGTCGAAGCACATGCCATTTCGTTTGTCGAGCACAGAGCGAGAAGGCCATAGCGTTCGGGCTCGCTCGTGCAGAGCAGAGTTTAGGTATAAATAGGAGCGGCCGACGCGGCTTCTACATTAGTTCAGTGGTGACTTTCGAAGTGTAAAAATAAAATAGTGAAAAATGACTGGTCGCGGTAAAGGAGGCAAAGGCTTGGGAAAAGGTGGCGCCAAGCGTCATCGCAAAGTGCTGCGTGATAACATCCAGGGTATCACAAAGCCAGCCATCCGTCGTCTGGCTCGGCGTGGCGGCGTGAAGCGCATTTCGGGACTCATTTACGAGGAAACCCGTGGTGTTCTGAAGGTGTTTTTGGAGAACGTGATCCGTGATGCCGTCACCTACACTGAACACGCCAAGAGGAAGACCGTCACAGCCATGGACGTCGTCTACGCCCTGAAGAGACAAGGCCGCACCCTGTACGGTTTCGGCGGTTAAAAAATCAGTACAGTCTGTACTTCTCAACAATCGGTCCTTTTCAGGACCACCACTTAATTTCATAAAAGAGAAAAATTATCAAGTTATATTTCGCATATATCTTAACATTGAATATTCTAGCCCAAGAATGGAAATATCTTTATTTGAATTGGTCGGGGTTTCCGTAGGAAGACAATCACATCTTTAGGTAGCGTAAACTGTCTTGCAATGACAATGTTCATTGTCCATGTCCTGGAATTTCTCTGACGACTGTACTATTGGTTTCTGCATAGCGATAACCAAAAATATAAATATTATATGTATATTTTATATATATAAATTTATTTATTATATAATTATTAATATTGTTTAAACTTAGCTAGGCATATTTGAAATTGTAAGTTTCTTTTGAAATAGTTTGGTCGTCCTGAAAAGGACGTTTGGGTTTGAGTTTGTTTTTATGTACAAGGTTTCTGGCACGCTTTTTGAACGCTTAAGCCTTCTTCTCGGTCTTCTTGGGCAACAGAACAGCCTGGATGTTGGGCAACACACCTCCCTGGGCAATGGTGACGCCGGAGAGCAGCTTGTTCAACTCTTCGTCGTTGCGGATGGCCAGCTGCAGATGACGCGGGATGATCCTCGTCTTCTTGTTGTCACGAGCAGCATTGCCAGCCAACTCGAGAACCTCAGCGGCCAGATATTCCATCACGGCAGCCAGGTAAACTGGAGCGCCGGCACCGACGCGCTCGGCGTAGTTGCCCTTGCGGAGCAGACGATGGATACGGCCGACAGGGAACTGAAGTCCGGCACGGTTGGACCGGGACTTTGCCTTTCCCTTAACTTTGCCACCTTTTCCACGACCAGACATTTTCTCTTATTTCAGTTATTTCACTTTATTCACTGCACACACACGAAGAACGAATGTTGCCGGCTGCCCAGCTTGTCACGAATTTATACTTTTAGTTCTGCCTGTGCGTTCAGTTAGGGGTGGGTCGCCTTAGACCTGAAAACATTGCTTGAAAAAAAGTATAAGAGCGAACACCCAAGCCCGACTGCTATGAAAAGTGAGTTAATCGCAAAGTGAAGTGAAGTGAAAAAATAATGCCGCCTAAAACCAGTGGAAAGGCAGCCAAGAAGGCTGGCAAGGCCCAGAAGAACATCACTAAGAACGACAAGAAGAAGAAGCGGAAGAGGAAGGAGAGCTATGCTATCTACATCTACAAGGTCCTGAAGCAGGTCCATCCCGACACTGGCATTTCCTCGAAGGCGATGAGC